ACACTGTTGGGAATGCAAGCTGCTACAGCCACTCTGGAAAACAGTATGGAGGTTCCTCAAGAAGTTAAAAATAGAGTTACCCTATGACCCAACAATTGTACTACTAGGTATTTACCCCAAAGATACAGATGTAGTGATCCAAAGGGGCACCTGCACCCCAATGTTCATAGCAGCAATGTCCACAATAGCCAAATTGTGGAAGGAACCAAGATGTCCTTCCCATAGATAAATGGAGTAAGAAGATGTGCTAATGATGTTATATATTCGGCTAAATGAACATAATAAAAATAATAAAATAAAAATAAAATAAGATGTGGTTCATATATACAATGGGATATTACTCAGCCATCAGAAAGGATGAATACCTACCATTTACAACAATGTGGATGGAACTGGTGGGAATTATGCTAAGTGAAATAAGTCAATCAGAGAAAGATAATTGTCATATGCTTTCACTCATAATGTGGAATATAAGAAATAGTGCAGAGGATCATAGGGGAAGGAAGGGAAAACTGAATGGGAGTAAATCAGAGAGGGAGAGAAACCATGAGAGACTCTTGCCTCTGGGAAACAAACTGAGGGTTGTGGAAGGGGAAGTGGGTGGGGGGGATGGGGCAACTGGGGGATGGGCATTAGGGAGGGCGTGTGATAGGATGAGCATTTGTTGTTACACACAACTGATGAATTATCGAGCACTACATCTAAAACTAATGATGTACTATATGTTGTCTAATTGAATTTAAATTTAAAAAAGAAGAAGATGGGTTTATATATATAATGGAATATTACTCAGCCATCAAGAAGGATGAATACCTACCATTTACATCGACGTGGATGTAACTGGAGGGTATTATGCTGAGTAAAATAAGTCAATCAGAGAAAGACAATTATCACATGGTTTCACTCATATGTGAAATATAAGAAACAGGGCAGAGGATCATAGGTATGGGAGGGAATAAATGAATGGGAAGTCATCAGAGAGGGAGAAAAACCATGAGAGACAGATGGAGGGTTGCTGGAGGGGAGGTGGGTGGGAGAATGGGGTAATTGAGTGATGGGCATTAAGGAGGGCACATGATATGATGAGCACTGGGTATTATACACAACTGATGAATGATTGAATACTACATCTGAAACCAATGATATACTGTATGTTGGCTAATTGAATTTAAATAAAATTTTAAAAAGGCTAAAAAAAAGAAAAGTCATCTTTCAGAAATGAAGGAGAGTTAAAGACTTTACCAAACAAACAAAAGCTGTGGGAGTTCAGCAACTCTAGACCTGCTTTACGGGAAATACTGAAAGGAATTCTTCAAGCTGAAATGAAATGCCACTAATTAGTAATATAAAAATATATGAAAATGTAAAATCTACTAGTAAAGGTAAGTATATACTCAAATTCAGAATACTCTAATACTGTAATATGGTAGTATGTTAACTATGTAACCCTAGTGTAAATGTTAAAGTACAAAAGTGTTAAAAAAAAAACTAGGTACAATAATTTTTTAATAGGTACGCAATATAAAAAGAGGTAAATTTTGACATCAAAAACAAAATATGGGAAGAGGTGTAAAATGGTAGAGGTTTTGTGTGTGATCAAAGGTAAGTTGTTATCAACTTAAAAGATATTTTTGTTTATGGAAGCCTCATGGTAACCACAAAGAAAAAACAAAGTAGATACACAAAAGATAAAGAGAAAGGAATCAAAACATACCAGTACAGAAATGATCACTTCACTAGAAGAAAGACAGCAGAGAAGAGGAAAGGAACAGTAGAATTGCAAAAGAGCCAGAAAACAATTATTAAGATAGAATTAGTAAATCTTTACCTATCAATAATTATGTAAATGTAAATGTATTAAAATTTTCAATCAAAAGGCATAGAGTGCCAAATAGATTAAAAATAAGACCCAGTAATATGCTGCCTAAGAGTGACTCAGCTCAGCTTTAAGGGCACACATAGGCTCAAAATAAAGGGATGGAAAAAGATAATACCATGCAAATGGAAACCAAAAGAAAGCAGGAATAGTTTACTTATATGAGACAAAGTAAACTTTAAGCCAAAGACTGTAACAAGAGACAAAGAAGGTCATTATATAATGATAAAGTAGTCTAGTTTTCAAGAGGATGTAACAATTGTAAGAATATATGCACCCAACATTAGAGCACTAAAATAAAGTAAATAAATTAAGATCTGAAGGGAGAAATAGACAACAAAAAATAATAGTAGGGGAATTTGATACCCCACATTCAACAATGCATCCAGACAGAAAATCAATAAAGAAATATTGGACTTGAACTAAACCTCAGACCAAATGAACCTAACAAACATTTATAGAACACTGCATCCAACAGCAACAGAATGCACATTCTTCTCAAGTGCGCGTGGAACTTTCTAAAACATAGATCATATGCTAGGTCACAAAACAAGCCTTAGCAAATGTATGAAGATTGAAATCATACCAAGTATCTTTTTTGACCAGAATGATATGAAACTAGGCATTAATAACAGGAGGAAAACTGGAAATTCACAAATATGTGGTAGTTAAACAACACACTCTTGAACAACCAGTGGGTCGAAGAAGAAATCAAAAGGGAAATAAAGAAATATTTTGAAATAAATGAAAATGGAAAAACAGTGTATCAAACTTATGGGATGCAGCACAGCAGTTTTAAGAGGGAATTTTATACTGATAAACACCCACTTTAAGACAAAAGAAAGATGACACCCAAGTCTCAACTCAGCCTTCATGCTGCTGGAGCTGGCCAGCTGCCTGCATGCTCCACATGTGCAGTGCCCACCACCCACGCACTTAATTATTTGATTTTCCACTGTGGCTGGTGAAACAGGAACTCTTCTAGGCACTGTATGATCTTAGGTAATTAATCCCTTTAATTCAGTTTTGTGGTTCCTTCCTCACACGTAAGTATTAATCACTACTCAGCTAAAGTGTTAAAGAGGACCCCCCTGCAGTTCTCCAGAGCCCTTTGTGCAGCTATCTTCTCTCTGATATTTTGCCCTGAAAAATTATCTTTCTTGCCCTCTCCATACCTGCAACTCAGTATCTTCAACTTAAGCAGACTGATGGGCTCCCCCTGAGCTTCCCTCCATATATTATGGCTTGCAGACTCTCTCCACACTGTAAGCTGGGAATATCATGAGGCTCACCTCATTTCTTTTTCCTGTCTCTCATAGATCACTGTCTTTCATTACCAGATTTCCAGTGCCTTGAAACCCATTGTTATGTGTATTTTTTCTAGTTTTTAAATTATTACTTGCAGAAGATGTAAACCTAATACCTTTAGTCCTATCTTGGCTAGAAGTGGAAGTAGCTATTATAATCTTTTCAGAGGACAGTTTGGCCTTTTATGTCAGTATTTTAAATGTGTTTTTCTTTGACCCAGCAATTCCAGTCAGTCTTCTAGTTGCTGGAGATATAGCAGTGAACATGATAATGTACTTCCATATAGCTTACAATAGATTAGAGCGGCTGACACAAAAACAGAAAAATAAATAATTACAATATGTCTTGTTAGGAAGTAATAAGAAATGCTAAGGAGAAAAAAAAGGAAGGGGGATAGGAGGCATTGCATACAGGGAGGTATGTAAAAATTTTAGATACATTCACTTGGAAGACTCACTGAGAGGAATATATTTGATCATAGCCTACTGAAATTAAGAGAGCAAACTATATGGATATCTGGAGGAAGAGCACTCCAGGTAGATGAAACACTCAGTGCATAGGCCCTGATGTGTTTGATAAATAGCAAGGGATATTCTTAACTCCTATAGTGCATAAACATATACTCACAAAGTGGTAGTTATTTAGAATATTATTACTATAGGTTGTGAAACTGTATGGCCTTAGCTGACAGCTACTATGTCATATTCTCTCTTTTCTATGCCATGAGACATTGAGACATGCCCTGCTTTCTATCATTGTTCAGCTTTTACAGAAGGTTTCCTTGTGTTCCCAGTCATGTAATTTTTGTGACTTTGCAGCCTGATATTGGTCTCTGGCATTTCTCTTTGCACTAATCATCAGGGTTGATTTCATTTTTGCACTACACAGTTGTCCCCTTCTTCCCTCACCATGTGTGTGTCCTCCCAAAATGTGTGCACTCTGGCCAACAGCTGAATCTCCCCCAGAGACAAGAAAGATTTTCAAATACATATGACACTATATAAAAATTGTAATCATTAGGAGTACCTGGTTGGCTCAGTCAGTTAGGTATCTGACTCTTGATCTCGGTTTGGGTCTTGATCTCAGGGTCGTGAGTTCAAACCCCATGTTGGGCTCTGTGCTGAGCATGGACGCTGCCTAAAAAAATTTTGTAATGATAGCTTCTCCCTCATTTGTCCAGCACTTTTTACAATGATAAGACATTTTCTTTTCGCCCTTTCTTTTTTGAATAAGTAATGCTACATGGTATGAAATTTTAGAAGATCAAAATGATATAGGAGTGAGAAATAAGTTTCCTCCATCCTTTCCTCAGCCACTCATTATTCCTGTCTTGAAGCAAACAATTTAACCAATTTCTTTGGTATCCTTTCAGAAACATTGGGTGCATTTTAGTAACCCTCCACACCCCACCCCTACCCATACAGTGTACCTTGACTACCTTTTTACTTGATTCTCATCACACCCTCTGAGGTACATGGTGCTCTCCCCATATTACAGATGAGGAATCTAAAGCTCAGAGATAGGAGGTGACTTGCCTAAGGTTTTACAGGCAGTAAGTGGAAATCCAGGACTGTGCAGTTTTTGTCTGCATTCTTTCCTCCACGCTGTGAAGTGCCAGATCCTGTGTCTTAAACATGATAGGCGACTTCTAAACACTTGCTGGTAGCTAGAGTGATTTTAAAAATCCCAATTCCTTTAGTCATATTAGAATTGCTCTGTCAGACTCTAGGCAGGTAGGCATCAACTGGTAGTTCGCATTAGGGAGACAAAAACTCGATCTTTCTAATTGTTTCCTGAAAATATTCTCCTTTTACAGATCTATTCAGGTCCACCTGAGGAAAGTGCTACACCCCCAGTGCCTCCACCTCGAGTGACAGCAAGAAGGCACAAACCAATCACAATTTCAAAACGCTTGCTGCGGGAAAGAACAGTTTTTTATACTTCTTCCCTGGATGAAAGTGAAGGTCAGTACTGAGGTATATCCTTAGCTTCTTAATAGAATTAGAAGTGACTAGATTGCTGCAATCTGATGAGAAAACTTCACAGATGAGGAGTTGCTTCTTATGGATGAGCAAAGAAAGTGGTTTCTTTTTTTTTTTTTTTTGAGCTTTCTTAAGTCTTTATTATTGTATCACATTAATATTTAGGTATTTTGACTTTTTTTGTTATGTTAAACACCATACATTACATCATTAGTTTTTGATGTAGTGTTCCATGATTCATTGTTTGCATATAACACCCAGTGCTCCATGCAGAATGTGCCCTCCTCAATACCCACCACCAGGCTAACCCATCCTCCCACCCCCTCCCCTCTAGAACCCTGTTTGTTTTTCAGAGTCCACCGTCTCTCATGGTTCGTCTCCCCCTCTGATTTCCCCCCTTCATTCTTCCCCTCCTGCTATCTTCTTCTTCTTTTTTTTTTTAAATATTAAGAGACGAACCATGAGAGACGGTGGACTCTGAAAAACAAACAGGGTTCTAGAGGGGAGGGGGTGGGAGGATGGGTTAGCCTGGTGGTGGGTATTGAGGAGGGCACATTCTGCATGGAGCACTGGGTGTTATATGCAAACAATGAATCATGGAACACTACATCAAAAACTAATGATGTAATGTATGGTGTTTAACATAAGAATAAAAAATATATATATAATGTATTATTTGCTTCAGAGGTACAGATCTATGATTCAACAATCTTGTACACTTCACAGCACTCACCATAGCACATACCCTCCCCAATGTCTATGACCCAGCCACCCCATCCCTCCCAACCCCCACCACTCCAGCAACCCTCAGTTTGTTTCCTGAGATTAAGAATTCCTCATATCAGTGAGGTCATATGATACATGTCTTTCTCTGATTGACTTATTTCACTCAGCATAATCCCCTCCAGTTCCATCCATGTTGTTGCAAATGGCAAAATTTCATTCTTCTTGATGGCTGCATAATATTCCATTGTATATATATACCACACCTTCTTTATCCATTCATCTGTTGATGGACATCTTGGCTCTTTCCATAGTTTGGCTATTGTGGACATTGCTGCTATAAACATTGGAGTGCACGTACCCCTTTGGATCCCTACATTTGTATCTTTGGGGTAAATAACCAGTAGTGCAATTGCTGGATCATATGGTAGCTCTATTTTCACCTTTTTGAAGAACCTCCGTACTGTTTTCCAGAGTGGCTGCACCAGCTTGCATTCCCACCAAAGTGGAGGAGGATTCCCCTTTCTCCGCATCCTCGCCAACATCTGTCGTTTCCTGACTTGTTAATTTTAGCCATTCTGACTGGTGTGAGGTGATATCTCATTGAGGTTTTCATTTGGATTTCCCTGTTGCCAAGCGATGTTGAGCATTCATGTGTCTGTTGGCCATGTGGATGTCTTCTTTGGAAAAATGTCTGTTCATGTATTCTGCCCATTTCTTGATTGGATTATTTGTTCTTTGGGTGTTGAGTTTGATAAGTTCTTTATAGATTTTGGATACTAGCCCATTATCTGATATGTCATTTGCAAATATCTCCTCCCATTCTGTCGGTTGTTTTTTGGTTTTGTTGACTGTTTCTTTTGCTGTGCAAAAGCTTTTTATCTTGATGAAGTCATTGGACATTCTTTCCTGCTTTGTCGAAGATTAGTTGACCATAGAGTTCAGGGTCCATTTCTAGGCTCTCTATTCTGTTCCATTGATCTATGTGTCTGTTTTTGTGCCAGTACCACACTGTCTTGATGATGACAGCTTTGTAATAGAGCTTGAAGTCCAGAATTGTGATGCCACCAGCTTTGATTTGCATTCCTCTGGCTATTCAGGGTCTTTTCCAGTTCCATACAAATTTTAGGATTTTTTGTTGCATTTCTTTGAAAAAAGTGGATGGTATTTTGATAGGGATTGCTTTAATTGTGTAGATTGCTCTAGGTAGCATTGACATCTTCACAATATTTGTTCTTCCAATCCATGAGCATGGAACGTTTTTCCATTTCTTTGTGTCTTCCTCAATTTCTTTCATGAGTATTTTATAGTTTTCTGAGTACAGATTCTTTGCCTCTTTGGTTAGATTTATTCCTAGGTATCTTATGGTTTTGGGTGCATTTGTAAATGGGATTGACTCCTTAATTTCTCTTTCTTCTGTCTTGTTGGTGGTGTATAGGAATGCCACTGATTTCTGTGCATTGATTTTATGTCCTGCCACTATACTGAATTCCTGTATGAGTTCTAGCAGTTTTGGGGTGGAGTCTTTTGGGTTTTCCACATAAAGTATCATATCATCTGCAAAGAGTGAGAGTTTGACTACTTCTTTGCCATCTTGGATGCCTTTTATTTCTTTTTGTTGTCTGGTTGCTGTGGCTAGGACTTCTAGTATTATGTTGAATAGCAGTGGTGATAGTGGACATCCCTACCATGTTCCTGACCTTAGGGGGAAAGCTCTCAGTTTTTCCCCATTGAGAATGATATTCACCGTGGGTTTTTCATAGATGGCTTTTATGATATTGAGGAATGTACCCTCTATCCCTATACTCTGAAGAGTTTTGATCAAGAAATGATGCTGTTTTTTGTCAAATGCTTTTTCTGCATCGATTGAGAGGATCATATGGTTCTTGTTCTTTCTTTTATTAATGTATTGTATCACATGGATTGATTTGTGGATGTTGAACCGACCTTGTAGTCCAGGGATAAATCCCACTTGGTGGTGGTGAATAATCCTTTTCATGTACTGTTGGATCCTATTGGCTAGTATTTTGGTGAGAATTTTTGCATCCATGTTCATCAGGGATATTGGTCTGTAATTCTCCTTTTTGATGGGGTCTTTGTCTGGCTTTGGGATCAAGGTAATGGTGGCCTCATTAAACAAGTTTGGAAGTTTTACTTCCATTTCTATATTTTGGAACAGTTTCAGAAGAATGGGTATTAATTCTTCTTTTAAATGTTTGGTAGAATTCCCCTGGGAAGCCATCTGGCCCAGGGCTCTTTGTTGAGAGATTTTTGATAACTGCTTCCATTACCTTAGTGGTTATAGGTCTGTTCAGGTTTTCTATTTCTTCCTGGTTCAGTTTTGGTAGTTGATACAGCTCTAGGAATGCATCCATTTCTTCCAGGTTATCTCATTTGCTGGCATATAGTTGCTCATAGTATGTTCTTATAATTGCTTGTATTTCTTTGGTGTTCGTCGTGATCTCTCCTCTTTCATTCATGATTTTATTTATTTGGGTCCTTTCTCTTTAAGGACCCGTGGCCAGGGGTTTATCAATCTTATTAATTCTTTCAAAGAACCAGCTCCTCGTTTCGTTGATCTGTTCTACTCTTCTTTTGATTTCTATTTCATTGATTTCTGCTCTGATCTTTATTATTTCTCTTCTCTTGCTGGGCTTAGGCTTTATTTGCTGTTCTTTCTCCAGCTCTTTAGGTGTAGGGTTAGGTTGTGTATTTGAGACCTTTCTTGTTTCTTGAGAAAGGCTTGTATTGCTATATACTTTCCTCTTAGGACTGTCTTTGCTGCATCCCAAAGATCTTGAACAGTTGTGTTTTCATTTTCATTGGTTTCCATGAATTTTTTTAAATTCTTCTTTAATTTCCTGGTTGACCCATTCATTCTCTAGTAGGATGCTCTTTAGCCTCCATGTATTTGAGTTTTTTCCGACTTTCCTCTTGTGATTGAGTTCAGTTTCAAAGCACTGTGGTCTGAAAATAGGCAGGGAATGATCCCAATCTTTTGGTACTGGTTGAGACCTGATTTGTGACCTAGGATGTAATCTATTCTGGAGAATGTTCCATGGGCACTAGAGAAGAATGTGTATTCTGTTGCTTTGGGATGGAATGTTCTGAATAGATCTGTGAAGTCCATTTGGTCCAGTGTGTCATTTAAAGTCTTTATTTCCTTGTTGATCTTTTGCTTAGATGATCTATCCATTTCTGTGAGGTGAGTGTTAAAGTCCGCTACTATTATTGTATTGTTGTTGATGTGTTTCTTTGCTTTTGTTTTTAATTGGCTTATATAATTGGCTGCTCCCATGTTAGGGGCATAGATATTTACAACTGTTAGATCTTGTTGGATAGACCGTTTAAGTATGATATAGTGTCCTTCCTCATCTCTTATTACAGCCTTTGTTTAAAATCTAATTTGTCTGATGTAAGGATTGCCACCCCAGCTTTCTTTTGGTGTCCATTAGCATGGTAAATGGTTTTCCACCCCCTCACTTTCAATCTGGAGGTGTCTGTGGGTTTATAATGAGTCTCTTGCAGACAGCATATTGATGGGTCTTGTTTTTTCATCCAGTCTGATACCCTATGTCTTTTGATTGGGGCATTTAGCCCACTTACATTCAGGGTAACTATTGAAAGATATGAATTTAGTGCCATTGTATTGCCTGTAAGTTGACTGTTACTGTATATTGTCTGCATTCCTTTCTGGTCTATGTTGCTTTTAGGCTCTCTCTTTGCTTAGAGGACCCCTTTCAAGATTTCCTGTAGGGCTGGTTTTGTGTTTGCAAATTCCTTTAGTTTTTGTTTGTCCTGGAAGCTTTTTTTTTTTTTTTAAAGATTTTATTTATTTATTTGAGACAGAGAGAATGAGAGACAGAGAGCATGAGAGGGAGGAGGGTCAGAGGGAGAAGCAGACTCCCTGCTGAGCAGGGAGCCCGATGCGGGACTCGATCCCGGGACTCCAGGATCATGACCTGAGCCGAAGGCAGTCGCTTAACCAACTGAGCCACCCAGGCGCCCCATCCTGGAAGCTTTTTATCTCTCCTTCTACTTTCAATGATATCCTAGCTGGATATGGTATTCTTGGCTGCATATTTTTCTCAGTTAGTGCTCTGAATATATCATGCCAGTCCTTTCTGGCCTGCCAGCTCTCTGTGGATAGGTCTGTTGCCAATCCAATGTTTCTACCATTGTAGGCTACAGATCTCTTCTCCCAAGCTGCTTTCAGGATTTTCTCTTTGTCTCTGAGACTCATAAGTTTTAGTATTAGA